TTTCCAATCAGGCGAATATGTTGTTATGTGTGCATTCCACGAGCAGTCTTTTGCGATCTCTACTCCGAGGTATGTGTACTGGTCCACTACTGCAATCTCCTCGATCCCCCACTTCCATCTATGTTCTACTGGTTCCTCCTTGTTCTCGTTGCATACCATGACGGCACTCTTCTGAACGTTGGCAGACAATCTCCACTTATCAGTAAACTTCTTCGCCGCGTCAATTTGCAGTTGCAGTCCCTCAGGGGTGTCCGACATACCGACAAAATCATCAGAGGTGGTGGGGGCCCGGGAAATCGAGATTTACTAGTTCCGCCGCGTTTTCGGCGAAACGGTATATTGGACATAACTCGTCACCAACATGTCTGTGAAAGATAAAAGTAGGTTCATTCGGAAGCCCTGGTCCGTAGCTTTCGAATGATATGTATTTTGTTGGGTAAATACCCTGGCTTCAAAGAAAAATCAATCAAGATGCCTGTGGGCGGGTCCTTGACAATTACCACTTTACCCGCAACAAACATTATATGGAAGACCTGTACCGTACCAAGAAACGTGAGAATCTGTTCGAATCATTCTTCTCGGGCAATTCCTCCACCCCATCTCCCCGCGTGCAGCTGGTCGTGGCGGGTAGTGCTATGGCCAAGATGAAGACGTATGCACTGGAACGGAATCTGCTCGCATGGGGCGGCTGGGCCGGTATGGGGTCCACAGCAGTTCTTATAGCGGGGATGTCCTTGGTCGTCGACAAGCGAAAACTCATGTCGGCCGTTCATCTCGCCACTGGTGGAAGAAGCTTGTGTCCGGAAAGATGCTTCAAGCAGATGGTGTGAGCGTGCTGACATCGTATCTCGCTCCTGCATGTTCGAGATATTTGCTAGCAGACGTGCCTATTGATTCAAAACTGTTTTCTCTTTCACGAACGAAATATCAAAGAAAGGGAAATTTCGCGACGACTTTCAGGAGCCATGCAATATCTTAGGCATCGCACCATCGTTCTGACGGGGTCTCAAGAACCCAACATACGCTTGAGTAGAACGAGCCCAAACCATCCCAATAGTTATTTCCGAAAACTCCAGGGTAGGACGATCACGCGTTGAGTTCATCGTTTCTGCCTGCTCTCGTCCTATCGGCGACCACAGCTCATTTTTATGGAGGATGGCCTATTTGCCAACCAATCCGATTCGTGCCACGTCGTCTCGTCATTTTGATGATTCTGTTCGCGCTAGACTGCGCGATTCGTGGACAGAGACGTTCAAAGCGACTTCACTTATTATGTGCCTGACACACGTACCACTCGAAGCATCCCAACTTGTACCCTTTGCAGATGTTCGGGTTCACCACGCTGGCGGGCGTTCTCAACCAGGAGATCAAGATTGGCCACACAAAGGTGATGTTCACAGTCTGATTTGGTGTCGTGCGGCATGCGATACATCGTGAGAGCTAACATCGTTTACCCATTCCTCCTTCATTTGAAAGAAGGATCCGACTGCTCCAAGGCAAGTTTTCTGTGATCATACATTTCGTTCAACAAGTATCCCGTTTACATAATAGTCCAGACACCTTCAATCCCATTGCAGGATCGGGTTGGGATATGTTAGCTCGTGAATTCCACCACAACATCGGGCGTGCCTAGATTGACGACGGCAGCAATCGCGAGGAGGATAGGTACAACAAGGCTCCCAATTAAAGACGGAAGGCATTTAGCCATGGATTGTTTTCCACGTCCTGCGTCGGGATTTAGGTGGTGGCACAAGGTGTCATAGTCTAAGGGACGGATTGCATGATTGTTGGCGGCATGTCCATCATCGTATACAAAGCACTGGGTTGTCACATGTTTTCTGATGAACCCATCAACTGCAGCGAGATTTTTATCTTATCGGTACGTAGAACGTTTCGGTTGGCTGTCTCTCCGGTATCTCAACAGCCACCTCAGGCCTGGCATGCAAAAGCAAGGGTACGAATCCGACGACAGGCGGGCGTCCTCGTGGCGGCAGGCGGCCTCTACAGCGCAGCTGTGGTGGTATTAGAGCTGACGAACGCAGGCCGAAGCACCCTTATCATTCCCTACACGGTCTTCGAAGGTTGGCAATGTCAAGATCGACACTCACGTTTGCCTTCAACGTGATTATCGCGAGCGATGCACCCTCTGGACTGTTGGTAAACTCGTGGCTTCTGGGGAAAAGATGTTGAATTGGTGAGACCTTGGACCAGGAGAACAGGTCAAAAGGTGGAGTGAGCGAGGGTGGGGCTAACACCGCAGCACAGCAGCACCGCAGCACCACTCATGTCGCTCGACCAACGCACAAAAGCAGAACACAATGATATCGGAACACAAAGACTCAACAGACAGGAGCTAACGTACTTCACAACGTACCATGAATCCTCTGACTGATGCACTATCCACAAGAAACACGGTCGGGGTAATGCACCATCCACGAATAACATTCCCACAGAACGTTCCTTGCTGTTCTGATAATATGTGGCTACTCAACGATCTTCAACGCAGACAGTCCCGCAATTCAAACTGTCCATTCAAGTTGTTCTACGTCTCTCTGTCGACACACACAGCAGCAACTATCACGAACACCCTCCCTTGGGGCTGTTGTCTCGACCAGATCAAATATATATCAGAAAAACAACATCCAAAATAAAACACAACTGAGACCTCTACTTCTCAGATCTCGAGCCTAGAGCAAAACTACGATGAACTTTAAAAAGATCTCTCGGCAGAGACTTCGTCAGAATGTCCGCATGCTGTCCTTCGCTAGAGACATGCCTGGTTTCCAACCCTCCCTCCTCTGTCAAATTCCTGAGAAAGTGGTGCCTCACGTCAATGTGCTTACTGTTACACGAACTGAGTGGATTCTCAGCAAGTGCAATCGCACCCTCGTTGTCCTCTCGTACCTAAATCTTACCTATTCTATCACTAGGCCTCAAGAACTCGAGCATTCCGTTGACAAACAGAGCCTCTTTTACACCGTCACCCATCGCAACATACTCTGCTTCAGTTGTTGAAAGTGTGACACATCTCTGCGCCCTAGAAATCCAAGCAACAAGACAGTCAGCTACAAGAACTAGTGCTCCCGAAACTGATCTACGGTCAGTGGCCTTACTGGCGAAGTCTGCGCCTACGTACACCAACGTGCCTACGTCTACCATACATAGTGTCCTGCTTGTACTTCAAAGTTAGATGTGCCGTCTCCAGACGATAATTTAGAATCTTCTGGGCCGCCTTCCAGTGGCTTCTCTTTGGCTCGTGAGAGTGCCTTGCCACCGCCCGCACAGCATTCGAGATGTCGGGCCTTGTCTGGTTGGCGATCCACATCAGGCTCCCCACCACCTCTCGGAACGGCACATCTCCTGCCCCCTTATCCTCCATCACGGACCTGTAATCGTTAGCAGGGGAANAGGAGAGAGTCACCTAGCGCTTCCACAACCATCCTGGCAAGTCACTCCATTCCTGCATACAGGATGTCATCCACATGAATGGCAATCATTCCCAACACCTCGTCTCCCATCATGAGACGAAGAACACAGGGGTCTGACAGAGACTGTTTGAAACCAATCCTCTTCAGGTCCGACACAAGTCTCCAGTGAATTGTTCTAGATGCCTGTCTCAGTCCATACAAAATTTTGTCTAAACGGACTACCTTTCCTGCCATCGACTCGCAGCCAGGAGGCAACTTCATGAACACCTCGTGATCCAATTCCGACTGAACAAATGCTTGCTCAATGTCAAAGTGGAGATATTCCAAATCATACTTGCACGCCAATGCTACCAACAAACGAATCGATGCAGCATTTGCAGTAGGCGAGAAAGTCTCAAGATAATCCACACCATGCTTCTGCTTGAAGCCCTTCGCTACAAGCCTAGCCTTGGCCTTCACTATCTTGCCTGTTTCATCTGCTTTCCATTTGTAGACCCATCTAGCATCTATCACGTACAGCCTATTGGAACCTTTACTGCTAACGCGAACGTTCCTGCTCTTAACAAGCCTTCAAACTCTGCAGACGTGGTCTTGTCCCATATCGAGGAGTATTTTGACTGACGGGCTTCTTTATAGCTACCCGGTTCTGACTCTACGTCCTGAATGAGCACCTTCGGCAATTCCATTGCATCAGATGCTCTCTGTTCCACTAAGAGTGCCTCTATTATTTCTGATGCGGAGATGGCTCCTAGAGTGACGATGAGGCCGGTTACGCTCTGCTGATTTACTGCCCGAGTTTGCGCACGAGTTCTTCCTTCTCTGACTCCAACATTCTCATTCGCAGCAGTGTCTTAACTAGCAAGCTCATGCCGCACACGACGATCAGATGGTACGTGCGTAGCAGGGGGAAATGACTCCGATTCTACCTCCTGCCCTCCCGGCTCAACCAACTCTTCATCCAACCCTTCCTGACTCTCCGACTCTACCTCCTGCCCTCCCGGACCCGCCGATTCTGCCTCCCCTGTCTCCGGCCCTCCCTGTCCTTCCTCATCGGTGAACTCGTCTGCTGGAAAAAACACAGGGGGGGCTGCGCTACTGGGGGAATTAATCGCGGGCGAAGATGGCACAGGGGGGGTTGACCTACACTGCCTGCATAAACACTGCCAACCTCATCGATTGCTCCACCAGAGACCGTTACATTCCGTCGCAAAAGAATGTGGGGAACTCCTCTCCCTAAAAGCGGCCATACCTCAGCTTCTACATCGTCGTCACGTTCCTCCCCTCCCTCAGCTGCGACCTCAATCGGCAAGAGAGACGGTTGCGGTGGAGGGAGTTGTGACGGCAACGCTTCCCACGTCACATTCCTCGTTTCATGAATAGTTCCAACCCTCGTAAGTACTCTATCACAGTCACGCGAGTGGTCTCTCGAAGGGCTGACATAAAAGCAAGCCTCACCCTTCGGCAGCAGCTTAGACGGTCACTGCCACCTGCAGTAAGCCGGTTTCAAAAACGGATACGGTCTAGCAGGACTAGCTTCACCATGCCACATCTCATACGGCGACTTCCTATCGGGGTTAGCGGAACAAGCTGTGTGGTTAATGCTGTGTGGTTAATTGCTTCACAAGCCCAGTGCATCGCCTCAGCCCATAGTTTATCAGTCTTAGGTAATTGCACATGCCCAAACAAAACTTTTGCCTGAATACGGGCAGCCATTGCCGCCGCCTCAATCAATCCCAAACCACGCTCTGCAACACCCTTGTACTGGGGACTATAAGCCGGGGTGAACTCTTGCTTAATCAAGAGCTCGTTGCACACGGACGCAAATTCTCCTCCGAAAAACTCCCCCCCATTGTCAGATCTAACAATCTCAACCAATGATGGGATACCATCAGCACGCAAACTTGCGAGGAAACTCCGGAAAGCACTTGCAGCGTCTGATTTACTTTTCAGGAAATACATCCATGTACGTCCTGTGAAATCATCCTTCACTATCATGAGGTAATGTTTACCCCCTACGGACGCAACGTCCTTCCGCCCTCCGAGGTCAACCAAAACTCTGCCCAACTTTTTGTCCGATCTGCATTTTGTTTCATGAGCAATNCAAATAGGACTTCACTTCTCCCTATTCCCCTTGCGTGTCTAATACAAGAGATAAAACGTCTCCCCCTTCCAAGTAAAGGACATATACGAACACACTAGAGTCAGTCCCTCGAGGGAGAGAGAGTCCATTAGGAATGTCAGGTCGCAAAGATGGGGGTGACTCCTCCAGCGACTCTGCGGCGGAAGACAGAAAGAGGTCAAGAGAAGAGCTCGTGGCCCTGAGGACGCAAGTTAGCTCGCTGACGGATCAGATGAGCCAGCTAATGTCGCTAAGGGAAAATGCCATGAAGGCAAGCAAGAAGGAGGAGCCAGCTGGCACCATGGAGGGTGCCGCTGATCGCGGCGATGCTAGGGAGAGCGCCGCCGCGGAGTCCACGAACGCCGAAGGAGGGGCAACGTGGACCCGGAGTGCGCAGGGCGGGAGGTACCTGCGCGAACCTGTTCGAGAGACACAGCGGCGAAGCAGGGGGCTTTGTCCCCCTAGAGATGAGAGTAGCCGCTGCTCACAACCAAGATTATAGTTGTGCCATGGGAGATGGTGGTGCTGCTGTTGGCTTTGGGTACGGAGCCACAACCCCAGCGACTGGGTACCAAAGTGTGCGGTACACTTCTCCTCCGTTCAGCGGGAAATCGAAAGATTTCAGCGAATGGCTGAATGATTTCCGCATGGCAGCTAATGGCGCAAACCTGTTGGAACAATTTGAAGAGAGCGGGAGCTTGGAGATCCCCGTCAACAGCGGAAAGAGCAAGTTTTCGCTGTCACAGCAGTACCGGAGCGAGCAAGTAGAGCTGGCATTTCACGTGTGGAACTTCCTGTCTCACGCGTTGAATGAGAAATATCGGAAAATCATGAAGAGGGCAGAGACGCCCCAGGGAGCTCTTCGTGAGCTCAAGACCATACACGACCCTGAATCATCTGTACAGCCGTCAGAGGACCTCAAGTCCCTGA